GCTACACTGCCACTAGCGCCTTTGGGCAAATGTGAATTTTCAAAAAAGGCCAGGCCTTTTTGCTATATCATATTCTTTTGGTGGAAGCAACCGTACATCTGCTATAACATTCGACTACTATACTTTAGTTTTCGAATTAAGTATTGTTTTCCTGACTACCAGTAAATCAGTAATATGAGATGTATTCACCTAATTTCGTTTAAGGTGATGAAGGACTATTGCTCTACCTCAGAGTTATTCTCATCTTTGATATCAGACTCTAAGAATTTAAGTCCCTTTCCATTCACGAATATGATTGACTTGTAAGGCTCAAAACAATCTAACTTTTTTTCATTTTCGGCTTCACTTGCTTTTAGTGCTTCAAATTTTATTGGCACTATTTCTGATTTTGAGCTATACTTTCGCGTGTGCTTTTAAAACATTTAATTGGCCTGCTTTCATCCCGTATTGTTAACCTTAATACGTGTTATCTGTATTCATGATTACATCCGTTTTATTCAGCTTGGATTAGATTGCGTCTAATACAATTAAATAATATGAACCAGAGTCATTAGACGCCCTTGAAATTTGATTAATTAGGCCGCAAAACTTCGCGTTAAGTGCTAAAGGTAACCATAGGCAGCTTATTAATATTTTTATAACTTTTGAGTACACAGTCCTCTTTGCTTGCCTTCGACAATGGTGGAAGACAATAAACCTACGACAAGTGTAAGATGAATGGCGATTAGTACATCAAGTTCACTAAGTGCAAAAAAAATTTGTTCGGACATACAGAATGCACCATACTTTAAGGTTAAACTTAAGATTGACGTCAACTTACCTCTTAGCTCTGGCGCCTCTGGCCAGTATTCTTAGAAGGCGATTCATATTATGCATTCTTGAGCGGTTCAGCTTGACATGTATGCAAACAAGCTTAGTACAACAAACAAATTGATATGAAAATGGTCTCTACTGTTGTTGACGAAATATGATTGACCTTTTAGAAAGTTAAAACAATTTATCACAATATATATATAGTTGTTAATATCCACTTAACAGATTCATGCGACCTCCTGTACGTCTTCAACGGCCAAACCATCGTTCCAGGTGGTGAAGATGGTATAAGTGGAGTGGAACGATTCATACTATTAGAGTATTGGAAGAATTAATTACTTTGAAGGATAAATTTGCAGAGAAACTTATTTTCAAAAATTTATAATCTCACAAACTAGCCGAATGGGAGTCGAATAAAAGCGGAGCAGTTGTTTTTATTAATATCTTAATCAACACATAAAATATGCCGAATCATTTGGATGATACCGATACGTATAAACTTTTAGTTGAACTTAACTAACATATCCCTCAATTTGGTGCTAAGTAATGCCACACCTTTTCTACTTTTGCACATAAAGTGGTTAGAATTGATTTGTCGTCTTCCTGGATCAGATACCAGATCATTTAGCTTAGATGGCGTTAGAACAGAAATTCTTGTTTCTGCTGATTACTCAGGACTATCCACTTGGTTTTGCACATCCGGAAATGCAAGCATAACTAGTGATGTTCATGACGTAGGTAATAATCAGGTCTTCAATTAACTGATATTTGCTAATTATTTTTATAGATTCATAAAACTTTTTGTAGGCGCAAGAAGAAGGCCTAAGAAGGCAACCTTGCACTACTAATAGGAGTGGGTTGACCTCTTTTTCGCAACTTGGTTTTGTTGTCTGTTGGACTTAGTTAGATGCACGTTTTTCGAAGTTCTCTGCCATAGTAGTTACCGTAATTTCAAGCATAATTCCCGTGGACTTGATGCATTCTCAGACGTTTCGCCAGTATCGTAGTCGGCATCATTAGTGAGTCTTGTCATTCCCAGCACCAAGATACAACTTGTCGCTTTGAGGTCTCGGCTAAAGAGTGTGATACCAATCCACTTCGACTTTCCTAGACTGCTTAGGTAATTACACTACTGAATCTATTTGTTCAGAACATGCTATACTAAATAGTTGTTGCTTTCAGTCTATCTTGGCCTTTGTTTCGTCTCCTGTGAAATAGAGACCAGATTAGTGAGGAAATATAGGATATTTGAAGTATCACTGCTGGCTTACAGCACTAGAAGATCCTTATTTCGTCCTCACAGTTCACAAATATTTTGCTATGCTCCTCATTAAAGCTATATTCTGACCATCCAAATTCTTATATTTGTCATGAAATAAACTACCACACTAGTCCACCACATCGGAAGTGTACCGTTTGCCCACAGTCACTTAGCAACTAAAGATAATCTAACCACAAATAAAATTAGTTGAAATACTGTTATAAGGCTTTAAATGTTGCTTTCTGCCGACGAGCTACCGAATAATTATTCTCATTGTACTGCACTTTCAGATAGAATATTACGTTTTGCCGTTCTGTATAAT